CCAGTGCAGCCAGCGCACTGGGAAATGCCCCACAGGACCGTCTCTATGGGAAAAACCAGTCACACTGGGAACAGCAGCCAGAGGAGCCTCACGCTCAACCGTGGGAACTTCTACAGCCCGGGCTATGCCGGGGAGCCAACCAGACAATCCATCCATTTACCTGGCTACCATCACCGTGGTATCTGGGCGTCTCCCAAGCATGACTGCATTTAACCCCACCCCCACCCCCGTGGGCAGGACAGGCTGGTATCACCATTGTATGGCTGGGACAGCGAGGCCCTGGCGGCTAAGAGACATGCACAAGGCCACACAGAAACCTGTAGCAGAGCAGGGACATGAACCCAAGGCTTCAGCTAGTGCCCTGACCTCTCTCAGAAACTGCCCAATGGTCCTTCTTAGGGGGCTGCAGGAGACCCAGCGTGAGATTTCTCTGCCCCTGGGTGAAGCAGGAGGCCCGACCGGATGGTCGGAACAATCTCTTCTGGCCTTCGCTGCTATGACTCTCTAAGACCACCACCGCCTATGGGTGGGTTAGGTAACTATGGGGAGCTCAGGATGCTCATTGGCGGGCCGGGGAACTGCCATTTGAGGAGGGGGATGTAGCTCTCAGGGCAGCCAGGCCCAGGGCGAGTCTGATGCCTTACAATGAGGACACACGGCAGTATATTGACGACCAGTGAAATTCCCCCGGGGAGAGGGCTGGCTGGCAAGGCCTTGGCACCGCTGGAGTCCCGCATGCCGCGCCAGCCCTCAGCCCTGGGGGTGAATTTCACCCCCCTTAGCAACGGCAGAACCCCCCCAGAGTGACCTAACCAGGCCTCTGCAAGACAGCAGAGCTTCCCCCGCAAAGGCGGGGGTCTTGCTCCATGGCCCAGGGGACCCCCAGGCTGAGGCAACACCTAGGCCCGCCCCAGCCCTCTGCCCGGGGGGGAGTTTCAGCCCCGGTCCTTAGCAACACCAGAGCCAGGCAGCCTGCCAGGCCCGGCTGCAGCCTCCAGCAGCCAGAGCGGCAGGGGCTACTGCTCGGTCCCGTGGGCCCTCTGATGGAGGAGCAGCTTGGTCTTGAAGCTGAAGCTCCTCCCGCAGTGGGCGCAGGCGTACGGCTTGAACCGCCGGTGCAGCTTCCGGTGGGCCATGAGGTTGGCCTTGTTGCAGAAGGCGCGGTCGCACTCGGGGCAGGCGTAGGGGCCGCTCCCGGTGTGCACCCGCTGGTGCATGAGGAGGTTGCCATTGCGGCTGAAGCTGCGGCCGCAGTCGGCACACTTGTGGGAGCGTTCCTGCGGGTGGCTCCGCTGGTGGATCAGCAGGCTCTCCTTCCAGCTGAAGCTGCGCTGCAGCGGCGCACACGAAGGGCCTCTCTCTCGCGGTGCGCCGCCTCGTGCTGGGCCAGGCTGGCCGGGTCGCCGGAGCTCTGCCCGCACTCGGGGCACCGGTGGGGCGTGTCCCCGGCGTGCTCCTTCCTGTGGGCCAGCAGGTTCCTCCGGTGGCGGAAGCTCTCCCGCACAGGCTGCAGGCGTGGCCGCCCTCGCCCGCGTGCCCCGCCCGGTGCCGCAGCAGGTCGCCCTTCGAGGCAGAAGCCCTTCCCGCACCTCGGTGCACGCGTGCTGGCTCGTGCCCCGCCGCTTCTTGTGGGTCAGCAGGTTGCGGCGGTGGCGGAAGCTCTTCCCGCAGGCCCCGGCACTCGTGGGGCCCGGCGCCCGGGTGCAGGCGCTGGTGGGCGCTCAGCGAGGCCTCGTCATCAAAGCTCTTCCCGCACTCGCAGCAGATGAGGGGCCCTCGCTCGCCGGGTGGATCATGGCCAACGGGCCGCTCAGGAACGCGCCGTCCCTTCCCTCCCACTCCGGGGACTGCTGGGGGGCGTCTCCGGCCAGCTCCCTCGGCTTCACCTCGCACCACAGGGCAGGATATTCCAGCACAAACCCCTCGGCTCCCCCGGCCAGCGAGGTGGGCGCCACCCACTGCTCGTTGCAGCCCTCCGCCGACCGCTCCTCCTTGACACGCCTGCCCCAGCCAGCTGTTGGACAGACCAAGCCAAGCAGTTACACGCTGGGAAGGGGCCTCGGGAGGAGGCCGGATGCTCCGCTGGTGCCACAGAGCCACACACCTTTGCCCATTCCCACCAGCCCCGGGCCCACCCAGCGCCTCGAGCCACACCTCTGCCCCCACGGCGCGCCGTGGAATGAGGCTGGGAGGGGCCAGGCCGTAGAGACACCATGTCTCTGCCGGTGCCCGCTGTGCAGCCAATGCGGGCAGAGATCCTGGGCACAGGCTGGCGTCCCCGTCGGGCGGGAACACGACCGGGACTGGCCCGCAGGGCGGGGAGGAACGAATGGTAGACCGATGAGCTCCCGCACCATGTGCCCTATCTCCCTGCAGGAACGGCCTTGCCGCGGATCTCATTGCAGAGCAAGGAGCCCAGGGAGATCGGGGGCCGGAGGCTGGGATGCCCCTTAGCAGCGCAGAGCGGGCAGACAGCTGCCGTGAGGAGCAGAGAGCTGGCACAAGCAGTTCTACCCCCAGCCCCGTCTTGGCCCTAGCAGAGGGGCTGCACCCAGGCCACTGCTGCACGAACGTCTCTTGGGGATACTGATTGGCCAGCGCAGCCTGAGTCCCCCTCTGCTCATCTCCACCTGGGACAGGGACTGAACGTCGCACCAAGTTTCTGCTCTTTTGTCTCTGAGCAGTTTGCAGGAAAGGGAATCGGTGCCGCTCACCTGTGCTGGGGGCATCCAGGATTCCTCTGTCCCTCTCCCCTGGGGAGCTGCAGCGTGTGGCTCTTCCCCTCGCTCCATTTTACAGATCATTTCCGGTTTGGGGCCTGCAGAACCTGGGCACGGGGAGAGACCCACAGTCTGGGTTTCCTGTGTCCGCCGCAGAAAGAGGTGATTTGCAAACGCATCGGATGTGAGTGGGAGATGCTGTCACAGGGGCTCTTCGTTCCAACTGCAAACCTCTTGGGGCAGGGACACATGGGGGGCTACTGCCTGGGGTGAGCCCAGCTCCCGCAGGGCTGCGTCCATACGTAACAGCAGTGTGTGGACGGGCACCGCCCTGCGAGGTGCAGCCCACCGGTACCTGGAGCAGGCTGGAATTCCTCATCCCTGCTGGGAGAGGCAGCTGCCGAGGGATGGGCAGGTACCTGCAGCCCCTGGGCCCCGTGGAGGGGACATGGTCCCAGGCGGAACGGTTCAGCCAGTTTCCCAGGCTCTTCTGAAGAGACATTTGGATGCCCTGCAGGATTTCAATGTTCCCTTGAAAAGGGCTACCGTGGGACTGGGCCGTGTCTGGACCATGCACAGAGCGAGCCCTCGCTGCCCGAGAGGTGCGAGCTCCGGCTGGCTCCTGTGGGCTAGAGGGTCTCCCTCAGGGTGGATTTCATCCCATTCCAACTTTGGCACTGGCCAGGGCCTTTCACAGACTCTAACAGGGCCTGAGTCTTACCCAGCGAGGCGATGAGCTCGTAATTCTCCATCATCACCTCCCGGTACAGCTCCTGCTGCCATTCATCTAACACCGCCCACTCCTCTGGGGAGAAATAGACCGCCACGTCCTCGAATGACACCAGGGCCTGAAACACAAGAAGGGTCCCCATTCAGGACCTACTGATTCAGTGGCATCTTTATCCACCTTCCTCATGGTCACATCCTCCAAGCTGCCCCACTCACCGCCCAGCCTAGGGCCCCATGGCCGGTTGGGTCACCTTCCTTTACCTTGTCCGAGACAGGTTTTGCCTCTGATCTTCTGCTGACCAGTCCCACGTGGCTTCAAGCCTGGGGGTGTCCCGAGCTTGTCCTATGCGGGGTGGGGCGACTGCTCAGGAAGACTGGTGTAGTGGGCACAGTGGTGGGCCGGCGCTCAGGGGACCTGGGGCAGTTCCTGGTTCTGCCACAGACTCCCTGTGTGACCCTGGATACATCACTTAGTATCTCCAGTGGCCAGATGGGAGGTTAACACTTACCTCCTCCCTACCTTTATCTGTGTTATTTAGATTTGCCTGTAAGCACCACAGGGCAGGGGCTGTCTCTGACTCTGGGTATATCCAGAGCCCACCACAATGGGACCCTAATCTAGGGTCATTAGGGTGTCACCGTAATACTGCCAATTACCGCATCCAGCCCTGGTCTGTGCCAGGCTGAGAGTAGCCCCTGATCTACCCAGCTGGCACTCAGACCTACCCAGCCAGCACACAGACCCACCTGGCCGGTGTCTCGATGAGAACATGCAGCTGCAGAGGAGGGAGAGATCCCAGGGGAGCCAGTTTGCAGCAGGCTCGTTTGGACTAAACTTAAAGGTGATCTGCAAAGCCGAAAACATTGGACTTCTGCCCTTTCTCATGATGCATAACGGCCAGAGAGACCAGAACAGAACAGGACTGTGGTGGGAGTCTGCTTGTTTTTACCTTACAGCTACATCAGGAATATCAAGTCTCCTCTTCCCTGATCTTTGGGTGGACTGAGAAACGTGGCCTCTCCTGGAAGGGCAGGTGGTGATGAGCCAAACTTTAGCTCAGAGAGCTTTTCTCTCCAGTCTTCCTTGGGCATTGGAGTTAAACAGGTGCCACCACAAAGAAACAGACTCCCTCGCATTTTAAACAGTCACTGCCCCCCTTCGTTAGCCGGGCTTCACTTGCAGGGCACCTCTCATGCCCAGTCTAGCAGGTCTGTCTGGTTGATTACACTCCGCTCACCCCACACGGACAGTCATTCAGGGCGCTCTCCGGTCAGCCAGAGGCTCCCAGGGCGACCAGCCCCTCGTTCCAATACACAAACAAGCAGCACGACAACGTCCAAACCTCCTTTGTGCATCCTAAAGACGCAGCGGCCACAACAAATCGGTTTTAAGAACATTCGCGGGTCCCCGGGAAGAGGCAGAGCCCCGAGAACTCGGGACGTTCCGAGCTCGGCCAGTGGGATCCCTTCGTTATCCGTGACGAGTCGTGCAGCGCAATGTGCCGAGCTTCCCACGATGCGCAATCCGAACCGACCGTGGCCGCCACGTCCAGGGGGTTCTGGGAGCAGGGCTGGGTGTCCCGACCCTGGAGGCCCCAGGGGACTCCAGCAGCTGGGCACCCAAAGGCTCTACCCTTAAAAGGCAGGTTGACGGGACTACCTCTGTCGGGGGGCGAAAAGGCCACCACACCCCCTGCGCGCCCCAGCCCGCCCCGGGGGGATGGAAGAACGGGTCCGTCGCCGGAGCTGCGCCCGTTCCTGCCCTGACGGACCGTCCCCTTCTGCGGCCGTAGCCCAGGGCTGGGGCTATGCCGGGGGGCTCCCTGTCTGCAGCACCGTTTCCTGCCCCTCCAGCAGCTCCAGAGCCTGGCCCAGCCTTCAAGGGCTGGGAGCCTGCGGGGGGGCGATTTCCGGGAGTCCCGCTGCGCTCACCCGGCAGAGGCTCAGAGATGCGGCTCCCAGGCGCCGGCCCGGCCCCCGGCACTGGAAAAGGGCGCTGGGGGCAGCAGCCTGGCCCCGGCCCCTGGGGGCACCGGCTGTGCCGGGCCCGCCGGGATGTGTCCAGGGGATGCACCCGAGCTCGGACTAGATGATCTAACGGTCCCTGGCCGCTGGCCCCGGCCCCGCAGCCGGGCGGGGAGGGGAAGGTGCCGCAGGGGGGGCCCCCGCCAGCAGGCGCCCCGAGCCCACCGGCGCTGCCCGAGCCGAGCCGAGCCGCGCGGAACCGAGCCGAGCCGAGCCGCGCCGCGCGGAACCGAGCCGAGCCGAGCCGAGCCGAGCCTACCTGAGCAGCGCTCCCAGCGGCCATGCCCCCTGCGCGGCCCGGGGCTCTGCGCGCCGCTCGGCTGGGCTCGCCGGAGCCTCCCGCGGCACCGCCGCGCTTCCTCCGCCGGGCTAGGCCGGGGCCGGGGCCGGGGCTGGGGCCGGAAGAAGGCGGGCGGGGACGGGGGAGGAGCCGCTCACACCGCCCGGCCCAGCGCTGGGGAGGAGCAGCCCGGGCCCGGCGCCGACGAGCCGGTTCCCTCCACCCGGCCCGCGGCTGCAGCGGGGCTCGGCTCTGCCCCGGCCCGGTCCGGGGTCCCCAAACTCGGCCCTGGCCGGGGGCTTTGGGCACAAGCCGGGACCCCGGCCACCGAACCTGCTGCGGGTGCAAAGACCCCGGGTCCCCCCCCTCAGCCGGGCCGGCCCCACGGGGCTCCCCAGGGTCCCCCCTCCCTTAGCCGGTCCAGCCCCGCAGGGCTCCCTGGGATCCCCTCCCTTAGCCAGCCCTGCCCCGCAGGGCTTGCCAGTGACAGACCCCGCTCCCCTCCCTTAGCCGGCCCAGCCCCACGGGGCTCCCTGGAACAGACCCCAGCTCCCCCTCCCTTAGCCAGTCTAGCCCCACAGGGCTCCCCAGGATCCCCTCCCTTAGCGAGCCCAGACCTGCAGGGCTCGCCAGTGACAGACCCGGCTCCCCTCCCTTAGCCGGCCCAGCCCCACGGGGCTCCCTGGAACAGACCCCAGCTCCCCCTCCCTTAGCCAGTCTAGCCCCACAGGGCTCCCCAGGATCCCCTCCCTTAGCGAGCCCAGACCTGCAGGGCTCGCCAGTGACAGACCCGGCTCCCCTCCCTTAGCTGGCCTGGCCCCACAGGGCTCCCCAGGGACAGACCCGCCCTTACCCCCAGGCACCACCGGCCCTGCAGGGCTCACGGGGCCAGAGCCCGGCTCTCTCTCTCGCCCAGCCCTGCAGGCGTAACGGGGCAGGGGAAATAAAGGCTTGGGCAGCCAGGGAGCCTGGGTTAGTGAGCAGGCAGCGCACATCTGCATCCCCTGCTTCACCATCCTTGGAAGGCTGAGTCACTGGCCGTGCGGAGAGCCCTTTCTCAGACAGTTCCCTGGCCCCTGCTGCTGGAAAGCCGTTCTTTCGGCAACTCTGTACCATCACCCCAGGACAGCAGAGACGCACAGAGCTCCCAGGAGGGGTGGGTCACGCCGGGGATGCAGGGAGCGGCCTGGGTAGGGGCTCAGCCCAACGGAAATACAGCACGAACTGGAGGAAAGCCGATTGACACTTGCCTGGGAGGTGGAGAACCCAGAAAAGCTTCATGCCCAACACAACCGGCTCACGGCCCGTGTTGCACCAAGTTCTCCTGCGCCCCCAGGGGACTCGCCCGTTTCACAAAAATGCTAGCTACACCTCAGCGGCAGCGAGCGACAACTGGACTGGTTTATTGGACACTTGGTCTGACAGCGGGAGAGGGTGTATTTCCGCACCGCGCGGAGAATTTCACTGCATACACTGCTCGGTCAGCCTGCGTGAAGGTGGCACGTTCCTCACCCGAGCTGGTGATTTAGGCCTAGTCAAGAAAATGTTCTTTAAACAGGACCCCGTTCGTGCTGAGAACACGCCTCGGCCCTCCCTCCTCGCCCACTGGAACTCCAGCATCCTTGGAGCCGCCAAACCAGCCCAGAGGGGCACACAGCGAGACCCTGCGAAACGTGGTGTTCCCCGACTTCAGAGGGGAGCCAACAATGGCTCAGGCTCTAGCCAGGCCGAGAGAGCTGCAGATAAAGCCAGCTTCAAAGGGAAGTGGGGAACAGGAGGGTGATTTTGGTTAGATAGTAGCAGAAACTCCCAGAGCAGCAAAGCTCTGGCACAGGCTCCCACCCAGGGAGGTCATGGAGTCCCCATCACTGGAGATTTTTAAGAACCCGTTGGACAAACACCTGTCAGGACCAGGCTGGGTTTTCTTGGTCCTGCCTCAGCGCCGGGGTCTGGACTCAGGGACCTCTTGAGGTCCCTTCCAGCCCAGCATTTCGATGGCTCTATACAAGGCAAGAGGGTAATCGGAATGGTGGGACCTTAGGCTGGATGGGCAAGGCTAGCAATGCGGCTAAGACATCCCAGCGGGCAGCTGGGATTCACAGGCACCCACCGGTGAGTCGATCCTGGCTGATTAACGAGACCTGAGACTGGTCAACGGCGCCTCTAGCCAGGCTTCACCAGTGCGGCTACAGGCCCTTTACCAGTGAGCCAGGCTGCTCTCGGCAGCCCACGTACTGCGGAGACTCCGGACTGAGGCTGCTGGACAGACTCTCTGGTTCTCCAGCCCCAGGCTAACCCAGCCTGCTGTCACCATGCACTCCCCTGAAACCTCTCCCTGGAGTGAGCAAGCTGCAGTCTGCGCCTCCTCTGCGATGCTGCCTTTTCTCCCGGACGTGGGCCTTGCTGCAGCGAGATCTGCCACTCGGGCCCCCTTGGCCAGCGCACCGGAGCCACGCGTGCTACCTGGGGCTGACCCGGAAGATTTCTCCTAGGCCCTGCTCTTCTCTGCTAGCTATTGGCTATCGGGACACGTCCGAGCAGCCTCTCCTGCAAGGGGCGGCAACATCAGAGCTCGGAGAGCAGCCCTGACTGTGAACGTGCTGCAGGACTTCATCACCAGCCGTCGGGGCCTAAACAATGGCACCAGTGCACCCCAGGGGGCAGCAGCCACCCCACAGCTGGCAGCAGCAGCTGGAACGCGCTGGATGGGAACCAGCCACCATCCAAAGGAAAAATCCTGGGGGAAGAGCCTGCAGCGAGGAGCCAGAGCTCCGGAGAGCACTCCCCGCACCAGGGCTGCGCTCCCTGGCCGGGCCGTAACCCCGCTGGCGTACCTGCATTGGCAGGGTCCTCTACCCGGCCACGTGCTGGGAGACGGGGCTGGGCGTCCTCCCCTGCCCCGCGCTGGCAGAGCTGCCCAGGCCCTGCAGCCAGGTTTCATTTGTACTTGGTGAGGGCGCCCAGGGGCTTGCGGGCATGCGTGCGGGAGATCAGCATCTCGTGGATCTGGAGGAACTCGCTGAAGGTCGCCCCGTGGCCGTAGCCCGTCGGCAGCCCGCCGCCCGCGTGGGCCCTCTGGTGCCGCAGCAGATCTCCGCGGTCGCTGGAAGCCTGGCCGCGCTGGCGGCCGGCGGAGGGCTGCTCCTCGGCATGGCTGCGCAGGTGGGCGGTGAGGTTCGTCTTCCAGTTGAAGCTCTTGCCACAGTGGGCGCAGGGGAAGGGCCGGGCCCGGCGTGGGCGCGGCGGTGCAGGAGCAGTGAGCCCGCGTGCAGGAAGCTCTTGCCGCACTCGGGGCAAGCCTGGGGCTCTCTGTGCACGTGGGTCTCCTGGTGGCGCAGGAGGTTCTCCTTGCGCGTGAAGCTCCGCCCGCACTGGCGGCAGGCGAAGGGCTTCTCCCCGCTGTGCACGCGCCGGTGCGACAGGGAGGCCTGCTTGGTGCGGAAGCGGCGCCCGCATTCGGCGCAGCCGAAGGGCTTCTCCCCGCTGTGCAGCGTAAGGTGCCGCAGGAGGTTGCCCTTGCTGCTGAAGGCTTTGCCGCACTGGCTGCAGGGAAAGGCGCCCGCCCCGGCATGCTGCCACCCGTGCTTGGCTAGGGAGGCCTGGCTGCCAAAGCCCTTCCCACACTCCCCACACTTGTAGGGCCTCCCGCCCCCGGGGGCGGCGTGCTCCTCTGTTGGCTTCCCCCGCTGCCCAGGGCTCCCCCCACACGGCCCCGCTGTGCTGGGGGTTACAGTCACGGCTCCCGTCCCCAGGCTGCCCCCCTGACTCTCGGGCGCTGGGCGGAGTCTTTCTGGGGCCCCGTTGCTCTGGGGCTCAGCGCTGGCTGGGGAGTCCCTGACCCGCCTCTCACCCCACGGGGGTTCATCGTGTCCGTTCCCCCCAGGCCTCGCGCTGGCTCCGGTCCCGGCCGAGCCCAGGGAAACTCTCGCTGCGTCTCGCTCCGTTAGCGTCTCGCTCGGGTCCAGCTCTGCCGGCTCTTCCTCACGACGCATCCCCTCCTCATCAGTCCCCCGGGTCCCACCACCTGCCGGGAGAGGAGCGTCCAGGCGTTATTCCATGTGCCGGTGAGCTGGGGGGTTTTGGGGGTAAAGCCAAGCCTGGGGGCACAGCTACGGCCCCCAGGGCCTCTCTGTGGGACATACTCCTGTGGAAACTCCTCCGGGACGAGTGTTTACAGCGCTGCCAGTCCACAGCCTGCCCCTGGATCCTCCCTCATGCGCCGCCCCTGCCCTCAGGTGTGTCTCACCCACACCCGCTATTTACCAAGGGAAGGCCCTGTTGTGTCCCTGCTAGCCAGACTTCCCCCGGGCCTGCCCCACTGGGAACTCCCCAGGGCTTGCAGGCTCCAGCCTCTGCCCGCCTTGCAATGACGGTCTCAGCCTGACGGTGCCTGCTGGAGAGAGGGAAACTCCTCCCAATTCTGTCTGTACCTCCCACAGGAATGGTCCCCCCTGCTGGCACTGGCAGGAGGGGGCAGAGGGATCCTGTGGGGTCTGCCCTGGCAATGACAAACGCACCGACTGACCCGCTGCTTGAAGCTCAGGCCCATGCCCTCCTCAGCGCCGGGCACCGCACTGGCAGGGCCGGAAACATTCATGAACTGGGCACCACTGTGTCCAACACAACCAAGTGCCACGTGCCAGGAGCCGGCACAGGGACCCCGACTCTAGGAGCTTTGCTGGCCTCACTCACCCATGACGTGGGGACCAGGAACATGTGTCTCTCTGGGGTTGTATGGCTCTTCCCCACGCTCTAGCCTAGAGACAATCTCCGGTTTCACCACGGTGCCTCCTGTTCGATGGAAGGCAAGGTTTGTTACGTGCCTGTCAAATGGCTCAGCTAGCCAGCCCACCGACAGGAGTCGAACGCGCACGCTGGCTGCCTTCTGTCGGGGCTGGTGTGTTTATGACACACCTGGCTTAGGAAGCCACCAAGTCCCCCTGCCTAATTAAGAATAATCGGGGCACGTTCTGCCCACGTTCCAGGAGAGCAAGCTATGAAGCCGGCCCGGGGTAACAGGCCGGGCCACTGCCCCAATAACGGGATCTTTACCCACAGACGTGACCAGCTCATAATTCTCCTTCATCACGTCCTGATACAGCTCCCGCTGCCAGTCCTTCAGCTCCTTCCACTCCTCGGTGGTGAGATAGACCGCCACCTCCTCGAAGGTCGCCGGCTCCTGCAGCACAGATTAGCCCTGCTAAGCCACTCCCCAGGCCGCTGCACGCAGCGACCCTCTGTTCTCACCCCCCTGTGGCAGGGCAGCTGGCCGCCTGGAAGGAAAAGGCCCTGAGCCGTCTTAGCCAGTTGCTAAAGGAGGGAAAGTCACCTTAGGGAGGCTGCTGCTTTAAGAGCTGGAGCCTGAGGGCTCTTGGGCAGGGAGAGACCTGAATTCCTCCTCCCCCAGAGCAGGATGCCAGCAAGCGCCCCACGTCTCCTGCAATGTCCCTGCAAACGGGCAGAGAATCAGAGCGGTGCCCGCCCTCCACAGCCAGAGAGTCCACGGCACGCGGCACTTCCCACCAGCCTTTCCCCCCGGGGATCACCCTCTCCTAACAAGCAGCATGGGCTCAGCACGTCCCCAATTCGCTGCCCACGCCTTGGCACAGAACGCAGGGCCCAGCCTGCACCAGAGCCCGTCCAGCACCACAGGCCCGGCCGCCAGAGCAGAGCGGGAACAGCCCGGATACCGGGAGACTCAGGCTTACATGCTTATGAGCCAGCAATTAACGGTGCTCATAAAGCAGAAATCGGGGAAGCCCTTCGGAGACAGGAAGCCACAGGCACTGATGGGGCATTAGGCTGCCTGCTGCTGTTAAAAAAAGTTTTCCGCTACCCAAAGGCCTAAAACCTAGCTGACACCGTGGCATCTCTCTCCGATGCCCCATGCCTTGGCCAGCTCTGGGGCCTTTCCCTTAGTCCCCTCTTGCTCAGAGCCTCTGAGTTTCCAGCACTTCGCTCTCCTTACCGGAGCAGGTCTCACCTGGTTAGGGGTGTCGTTCCCCTGTGCTGGAAGCATCAGGATTTTCGCTCTCGAGTACTGGTGGTCCCAGACATATGGCGCCTTCTCTCGCTTTGCTTTTCTAGCTGATGCCTTGGGCTTGGGGCCCACGGAGCCTGTTCATGGGCAAGAGAAGGACTCACTGTGCCAGCCACTGCAACAGGAATTTCTCTTGCGAGGAGCCCCCAGGCTGGAAGTTCCTGTGATAGGATACTGGCTGCCTTTCAGACAGCTGGGTCCCAGGCCATCTAGCGCCCACAGACAGCACCCAGCCCCTTTGATTGCACTTGGGAGTCAATAGGCAGCTGGTGCAGGGCACAGGGTACGTGCCCACGTCCGCTGCTACTGCGTCCTTCACCAGCTCGAGCCCCTGGGAACTGCACGGAGGCAGCTTGGCAGTAACCCAGCCGCGAGGTCACAGGGACCTGGATCACTGTGAACAGTTCTGAGTAGCTGATCCTGAGACTCCAGGAGCTGGGTCCAATGGGACAGTGTGACGAAGTGACTCAGCAGGGAGGAGGGAGTGTTGACCTGGGAATGTGCCCTGGGGATGGGAGACCTGAGAGCCTGTCACCTGAGCCAGGAGGGGGAGGGGGGAGGTGACACCTCTGCCCAGGAATGTGAACAGAGGCTGCAGCAGGGAACCTGCTGGGTGGGTTTAGTTGGCAGTTTGGGAGGCTGGGGAGAGGAACACAGGGAACCCCAGGGCTGGGGTCTAAGCTCCCTGCTCCCCCAGAAGGACGTGATTGAGGGGTCCTGGTTGTACCCACAAGCTCTGTTGTGGACTGTGTTCCTGTTGTCCAATAAACCTTCTGTTTTACTGGCTGGCTGAGAGTCTCAGTGGATCCCAGGAAGAGGGGTGCAGGGCCTGGACTCCCCCACACTCCGCGACAACTTCTCTCCCCCCCTTCGAGACTGAACTGAGCGGGGTCACTGTGACCAGTGACCTGGGGAAGTTCGGGGCCCCCTCTCCGGGACAGCGCATCCGCTATCAGGTTGGCACTTCCCTTCACGTGGACCACGTCCATGTCGTAATCCTGCAGGAGCAGGCTCCATCTCAGGAGCTTGGCGTTGGCTCCTTTCATCTGGTGCAGCCAGGTCAGGGGAGAGTGGTCGGTGTACACGGTGAAGTGTCGCCCGAAGAGATAGGGCTCTAGTTTCTTGAGGGCCCACACCATGGCCAGGCACTCCTTCTCGATGGCCGCGTAGTGTTGCTCCCGGGGTAGCAACTTCTTGCTCAGGTACACGATGGGGTGTCTCTCCCCCTTTTCATCCTCCTGCATTAACACCGCCCCCAGTCCCGTGTCGGAGGCGTCGGTGAACACCACAAAGGCCTTGTCAAAGTCCGGGTTCGCCAGAACTGGGCCACTGACCAGAGCCTCCTTCAGCGCCCGGAAAGCCACCTGGCACTGCTCGGTCCAGACCACCTTGTCTGGCTTCCCCTTCTTGCATAGCTCAGTGATGGGGGTGGCTATGGCGCTAAAGTGGGGCACAAATCTTCGGTAGTATCCTGCCATCCCAATAAAGGCTTGGACCTGCTTTTTGGTGTGGGGAGCGGGCCAGTCTCTGATCACCTCCACCTTGGCTGGTTCCGGCTTTAGGCGGCCGCTCCCCACCCGATGGCCCAGGTAAGACACTTCCGCCATCCCCACCTTGCACTTCTCCGCTTTTACAGTCAGCCCAGCCCCCTGGAGTCGGTCCAGCACTTGTCTAACCTGGGACACGTGGTCCTCCCAGGTCTGGCTAAAGACACAGATGTCATCAATATACGCCACGGCAAAACTCTCCATCCCCCTCAGGAGCTGGTCCACCAGGCGCTGGAAGGTGGCCGGCGCTCCCTTGAGGCCGAAAGGCAGGGTCAGGAACTCATAGAGCCCCAGAGGGGTGATAAAGGCCGATTTCAGTCGGGCATCTGCATCCAGCGGCACTTGCCAGTAGCCCTTTGTAAGGTCCATGGTGGTAAGGTACCGAGCTCCTCCCAGTTTGTCTAGGAGCTCGTCCGGCCTGGGCATGGGGTAGGCATCAGATACAGTGATGGCATTGAGCTTCCGATAGTCCACGCAGAACCGGACCGACCCGTCCTTTTTGGGGACCAGCACCACCGGCGAGGCCCAAGGGCTGGCCGATGGCTGGATCACCCCCAAAGCCAGCATGTCCCGGACCTCTCTTTCCAGGTCCTGAGCAGTTTTCCCTGTGACTCGGAAGGGGGAGCATCTTATCGGCGGGTGCGACCCTGTCTGCACCCGGTGGACAGTCAGATTAGTGCGTCCAGGCTGGTTGGAAAACAGCTGTCGGTACGGATGCAGCACCCCCCTGACCTCAGCTTGCTGGGCAGGGGGTTAGCTGATCCGAGAGGGGGATTGTTTCCAGGGGGGAACCAGCTCTGGTCCCAGGGAATAGATCTACTAAAGGGTCATCTCCCTGCTCTTCCCACTGTCCACACACGGCCAACACCACATTCCCCCTGGCATAATATGGCTTCATCATATTCACATGGTACACCCGGCGGTGGTGCGCCCGGTTCGACAGCTCCACCACATAGTTTACCTCATGGAGCTGCTTGACGACCTTGAAAGGGCCCTCCCAGGCGGCCTGTAGTTTGTTCTTTCTCACAGGGATGAGAACCATCACCGGATCCCCGGTGGCGTAGGCACGGGCCCTTGCCGTGCGGTCATACCAGACCTTCTGCTTCTTCTGGGCTCTGGCCAGATTCTCCCTGGCCAGGCCCATGAGTTCAGCCAGTCTCTCTCGGAAGATCAGGACATACTCCACCACTGACTCTCCATCGGGAGTGGCCTTCCCCTCCCACTCGTCTCTCATCAGGTCCAGGGGGCCCCTCACCCTCCTTCCATATAACAGTTCGAAAGGCGAAAATCCGGTAGACTCCTGGGGCACCTCCCTGTACGCGAACAGCAGGTGAGGTAAGTACTTGTCCCAATCCTGCGGGTGCTGGTTCATAAAGGTTTTCAGCATCATCTTTAGCGTCCCGTTAAACCTCTCCACCAGCCCGTTGGACTGGGGGTGATAAGCTGAGGCCCAGTCGTGCCGGACCCCACATTTCTCCCACAAGCACCGGAGCAGGGCCGACATGAAGTTGGAGCCTTGGTCTGTCAAGACTTCCTTGGGGAACCCCACTCGGCTGAAAATGGTCAGGAGCGCATCGGCCACGGTGTCTGCTTCAATGGAAGCTAAGGGCACTGCCTCGGGGTAGCGGGTGGCAAAATCTACCACCACCAGAATGTATTTCTTCCCCGACCGGGTCGTCTTGCTGAGAGGCCCCACGATGTCCATGGCCACCTTCTGGAAAGGCTCCTCTATGATGGGCAAAGGTCTCAAAGCCGCTTTCCCCTTGTCCCGGGCCTTCCCCACCCTCTGACAGGGGTCACAGGATCGGCAATACTGCCGGACCGTGGTAAAGACCCCGGGCCAGTAAAAGTTCTGTAGCAACCTCTGCCGGGTGCGCCGGATTCCCTGGTGCCCTGCGAGGGGGATGTCATGGGCCAGGTACAGGAGCTTGCGGCGATACTTCTGGGGGACCACCAGCTGCCTCCTGATCCCACAGGACTCTACTTCCCTTGTGGGAGCCCATTCTCGGTATAGGAACCCCTTCTCCCACAGGAACCTCTCCTGGCAGCCTCTCCTCATGGTCCGTACCACCCTGAGGTCAGCCAGGTCCCTGAGCTTCCGCAAGGAGGGATCTTTCCTCAACTCGGCCTGGAACTCAGCAGCTGGGGAAGGGATGGGGACCGGTTCCCCCTCAGTGGCCAGGTCTGAGGCCTCAGCCTCTCTGAGCCGTGCCCCTCGGCCCTCCCTTCCCACCAGGGTAGGGTCCTGCGCCTCCGGTGCGGTACCCTCCCCGAGGTCAGGGAGCAGTGGCCCTCGCCGGCTCTGGCTACGGGTCACAACCAGGGCGGTCTGGGGCTTGCTTGGCCAGTCCTCTAGGTCTCCCCCCATCAAAACTTCAGTGGGCAAATGGTGGTGTACCCCCACATCCTTGGGGCCCTCCTTGGCCCCCCATTTCAGGTGTACCCTTGCCACGGGCACCTTAAATGGGGTCCCGCCCACCCCTGTCAGGGTCAGGTAGGTGTTGGGCACCACCCGATCTGGGGCCACCACCTCGGGCCGGGCCAGCGTCACCTCCGCGCCCGTATCCCAGTATCCATTGACCTTCCTCCCATCCACCTCCAGGGGAACAAGGCACTCTCTCCGGAGGGACAGCCCCGCGCCCACCCTGTAAACTGAGCGCCCTGAGTCCAGAGCCTCCATCCCTCTGGTGGAGCTGGCCTGGGGTACTCTTCCCTCCTGAGCAGGTGGTAAACTGGTAGGCCCCCTTTCCTGGGTCGTCTGCCCCTCGTCCAGCTGGGTCCCTACCCAATTAACCCTGGGTAGGTTGGGTCTGCTCAGTTTGTCCCTGAGCCCAGGGCACTGGGACCGTATGTGGCCTCTCTGGCCACAGTGATAGCAGCTCAGGTCACGTTGGTCCCCTCGAGCGGGTCGGAGGGGCCCGACGCCAGGCGTTCCCCTTGGGAGGGGGGTTCTCCCTATTTCCCCGCTGGGAGGCCCCTGGTGACTCTCTCTCTGCATCGGGGGGGCCTGTTCTTTTGGGACTCCTCCCGGCTACCCCCTGACCGACTGTTCACAAACTCGTCGACCAGCTGCCCTGCGTGCTGGGGGTTCTCGAGCTTTTTGTCCACCAACCACAGCCTCAGGTCGGAAGGGCACTGTTCATACAGTTGCTCCAGTACAATTAGGTCAAGCAGGTCCTCTTTAGCTCGGGCCCCAGCTGTCCACTTGCGGGCATACCCCTGCATCCGGTTGGCCAGTTGTAGGTAGGTGACCTCAGGCGTTTTACGCTGACTCCGGAACCTTCTCCGGTACATCTCGGGGTCAGCCCAAACTCACGGAGCAGGGCCTGTTTGAACAGTTCATAGTCCCCTGCCTCCGGCCCTGTCATCCGGCTGTACACCTCCACGGCTTTGGGGTCCAGTAAGGGGGTGAGAAACTGGAGCCTGTCTGCAGGGTCAACCCTGTGCAGCTCACAGGCATTCTCAAAGGCCGTCAGGAAGCTATCTATGTCCTCCCCCTCCTTACGCTGGGCCAGGAAGCACTTATCAAAGTTCCTTGCAGTCTTGGGTCCCCCTCATTCACCACAGCCGGGGCCCCACTGCTCTTCAGCCTGGCCAGCTCCAGTTCATGCTGTCTTTGTTTCTCCTTCTCCTGACGTTCCCTCTCCTTCTCCTGACGCTCCCTCTCCTTCTCCTCCTGCTCATGTTGACGTTGTTTCTCCTTCTCCTCCTGCTCATGTTGACGTTGTTTCTCCTTCTCCTCCTGCTCATGTTGACGTTGTTTCTCCTCATGTTGACGTTGTTTTTCATGATCCTCCAGCTCCCTCATTTTCATCTCCCTCTCCCATTCCAGCCGCCTCCGCTCCAGGGATGGGGAGCTCCGCCGGGAGGATCCCCTGCTGGGTGCTGGGGTCAGGGTGCCCTCGGTATTCGCTGGGCTTCCCCCAACCCCTCCCCCAGGCATAGGTAGGAAGGGTCTCGGGATGTCCTCGGCAGCAGTCTGACCCCTCCCAGCCCGGTCAGGCCCCGGGGCCCACGCTGCGTCTGCCGGGCGGCTCCCCTCAGGGACAGGGATCGGGTCATCCAAGCGATCCCTCTCCTCCAACTGGGCAATCAGTTGTTCCTTGGTGGACCTCCCGATGCGCAGCCCCCTCTGCCTGCACAGCTCCACCAGGTCACTCTTAAGGCGTTTAGCGTACATCTCCCCTGCTGGCCACTCGCAGGCCGGGCAGCTTCCCACGGTTTCCAGGAAAAGCCCTTAGTGTGCCAGTCCTTCTTGAGGTCACCACCTCTTTGCCAGGGTCGAGCTGCAGACTCCTCCCGCCCCTGGGACCGCTCGCTGCAATCCCCGGGGGACCCTGTTACTGCAAAAGTCTTTCTCTCTGGTCACACATTCCCAGGGGTTAGCCGCCCCCCGAAACCGTCTCTCTCTGAATCTTCAGCACGCCTGGTCCCCGTCAATTCCCCTTCGTTTTACTGTTCCCCAGTCACTTACTGCAGGAAGCGCCGTTCACGGGGTGCAGTACATCCCACCGCTGCCACCAGTTGTCGCGGAGTGTGGGGGAGTCCAGGCCCTGCACCCCTCTTCCTGGGATCCACTGAGACTCTCAGCCAGCCAGTAAAACAGAAGGTTTATTGGACAACAGGAACACAGTCCACAACAGAGCTTGTGGGTACAACCAGGACCCCTCAATCACGTCCTTCTGGGGGAGCAGGGAGCTTAGACCCCAGCCCTGGGGTTCCCTGTGTTCCTCTCCCCAGCCTCCCAAACTGCCAACTAAACCCACCCAGCAGGTTCCCTGCTGCAGCCTCTGTTCACATTCCTGGGCAGAGGTGTCACCTCCCCCTCCCCCTCCTGGCTCAGGTGACAGGCTCTCAGGTCTCCCATCCCCAGGGCACATTCACAGGTCAACACTCCCCCCTCCCTGCTGAGTCACTTCGTCACAGACAGCAAGCCGGGCCCCAGCACCTCCAGGCTTGGCAGTTCATCGCCCTGGCACCTTTGGCTCCCAGGCAGCAGCTGCCTCTCTGCAGCCGCCCAGCCCTGAAGGCAGCGCCGCTGCCAGTGGCCGCGCAGAAGTCAGGGTGGCGATATCGCACCCCATGCCACCTTCCGAGCTGGGCGTCGGGCCAGCAGCCACCCTCCGGCCGCCCAGCCAGTGCTTCATTAGTGCTGGGGCTCAGCGCCAACGTGTCTTTCGTGACCCGTTAAGCACCGACAGGGAGGCTATGCACCCTAATGCCGGAGGGTGGGGGGACGTGTCCTCCATTAGGAGGCAGCCCCGGCCATCAGCATACCTCTGCTGGGATGGCACCAACAAACGGGGGCTGAAAGCGATGGATCTACTGCCAGACACACAGCGCCCTGGACCCAGGCCACGGAGCACGGCCCTGCAGCCCCTCGTCGGGGGGAAGTCTCCGATGTTCAGCCACACGCCAGGCATTCCCCACGTACATCAGGGCCAGGGTCCCCAGGGGAACGTGAGATCTTGGGGTGCCCAAGATGCTGCTGCTCCTGCTAATAAAGGGATCCTCACCCAAAGATGCCACCAGCTCGTAATTCTCCATCATCACGTCCCGGTACAGCTCCCTCTGCCATTCTGCTAACGCCGCCCACTCCTCCGGGGAGAAATAGACCGCCACGTCCTCGAACGTCACCGGCACCTGCAATGCAACCGTGCCCCACTCAGCACCGTGGGCTCCAGTCCAGCCAGGCAGAAGCAGGGGGTTAGACACGCGCAGGCTACCCCAGGCGCGTATCTAACCTCTCACGACTTACAGCGTATGTTAGAATAACGATGATCCCAGCTTGGCGCCTGGGTCCGGCCAAGCTCCCAGGGACGGCAGGGCTGTGGGGGGCATTTTGACCTAAGTGCAGGCTTCTGCTTCATTTTATATTAGCCTCTTTCACACAGGCTAGTCAGGCTAACAAGCCCCTAGTCCTGGCACCATGCCCCAATGCATGGAATTCCCAAGGACTGGGACCAACCCGGAGCGGGGAAGGGGGATAGGACTGTGGGTCCCCTGAATTTACACTGATGCACGAGGAGCACCTCCAGACCAAACACCTCTTCCTGCTGCTGCAGACCCACCCCTGAGGAGGGGCAGGTGCCTCTGCAGGGGGTGTCTCCCCGGAGAGCCTGCTCATCTGTTAGCGGGTCTGGCTCCCTCCCTCTGTGTCTGGCCAGGCAGGATCCCAGAGGAGCAGCTCTGGGGCTGCCCTGAGTTGTGCCATGGGATCCGACCCCTGGCACCAGCGTCTGCCCTTTGTATTTTGCCTTGTGGTTGCCAGAAGGCCCCTGGAGGTGAGACTTTCTCAGGCGGCTCCTCGCTCCACTCCCAGGGAGACCCCGCCAGGCTGGGCTAGCCCTGCAGGCAGAGGGGGACCCTCCCCCTAAAGACAAGGGTGGGGCCCGATATTCACACCTGCCGCGGCTCCCACAGCCCCAGCGCTTCCACGCTACCCGACGATAACAAGCCTGCCAGCTGCTCCCGGGCAGGGACAAGCAAAGCAGCCAGGTCAGGCCCAGGGCCTGATTCTCGCCCGGCCGCGGCGTGACCGCCCGGGGCTGGGGACCGACCAATCGAGGCAGGGCGAGAGGTGCCGGGGCCGCCGGCCACGCCAGGGACCATCCACGGGCCGGGCTGGGGGCCGAGCGCGCACAGGGCGCCGGGCTCACCCGCTCCCCGCATCCCGGGCTCGGCTCCCTCCAGCCCCACGTCCCCTGGCGCGGGGCGAGCCCAGCCGCCGCCCCCGGCCCCGCCCCAGCCCCAGCCCCAGCCCCACCTGCGCCGGCATGGCCCGCCCGCTGCCTTCGGCCGGCTCCGCTCCCAGCCGCGACGCGCCCCGAATGGCGGCGCAGGACCAGCGCGGCGCGCCCTGGGCGCACGGGAGGGCGCAGGGGCCGGGCCGGGCCGGGCCGGGCCGGGGGAGGCGGCTGCCCGGCGGGGCGGGGGTCGGTCGGTCCCCGCGCCGGGCAGCGGGCCGGGGCGGGAAGCGGTGGGCCCGGCAGACGGGCTGGGCCCCGGGAGCCAGCGCGCAGAGGAACCGGCCCCGGGGCGCTCTGGAGCCCGCAGCCGGGAGCTGTAGCTCGGCTCGCTGCTGGGGCTTTGTTCCTGCTCGGTGGGAAGGGCAGAACTACATCTCCCAGCATCCCCCAGTGCGCAGGGGAGACCCCGGCCAGCGCCCCGACCGCTCCCCCCGCAGCCCGGCTCCAGCTGGAGTCTCGTCTCCGGGAGCCCCCGGGAAAGGGACCGTCTCCGTGGTGTGTGTGTGTGCAGCGCCGGGCGCAGCGGGGCCGGCCCGTGCCTGGGCTCCTGGCGCCAGGGGAATAGAGAAATCAGAGTAATGAAGCCTGCGGCCCAGGGAAAGCAGCAGCTCCACAGATCCCGCCCCCCCCAGCCTAGGGTTGCCAGTTTTCTAGTCCCAGAAACCCGGACAGCCTAGCCCCGCCCCTTCCCCGTGGCTCCAGGCTAGGGGGGTGGGGCCGAGGGATTTGGAGTGTGGGAGGGGGTGAAGGCTCTGGGCTGGGGCCAGGGATAAGGGGTTCAGGGTGTGGGAGGGGGCTCTGGGCTGGGGCAGAGGTTGGGGTGCAGGCTGCAGGGGGGTGAGGGCTCTGGGCTGGGGATGCAGGCTCTGGGGGTGCGAGGTTTGGGGTGCAGGAGGGTAGTCCGGGTTTGGGGGGGCTCAGGGCTGGGGCAGAGGGTTGGGGACTGGGTTTACCTCGGGCAGCTGCCGCCTAGGAGACGGACCTGCTGGCCACTTCTGGGGCACAGCGCGGTGCCAGGACAGGTAGAGACTAGCCTGCCGCAGCGCCGCCAACCAGACTTTTAACCGCCCAGTCGGTGGTGCTGACCAGAGCCGCCAGGGTCCCTTTTGTTCCGGACACCTGGTCACCCTACACGAGCCCCCTGCTAATCCAAATCCCAGAGACCCCCGGGCCCATCCCTGCCCTAGAACAGACCCACACCCTAGCCTGGCGCACTCAGGGATCAGAGATGCTCTCCCCCCTAAGAACGCAGCAGGAGACCCAGCTGGCAAGCCAAACGCACACACCTTAAACTAAAATCATTGGCTACAGGGTTATCATTCATTTATTGTGTGCTGTTCTGGTTAATTAACATGTCATGTAGAATCATTGTATGCTAAATAGAGTTCAGTTGTAGGAGAGAGGTAAATAGTGGTGTCCCCAGGGGTCTGTACTGGGCCCAGTCCTATTCAACATACTCATAAATGATCTGGGAAAAGGGGTAAACAGTGAGGTGGCAAAATTTGCAGATGATACAAAACTACTCAAGATAGTTAAGTCCCAGGCAGACTGCAAAGAGCTACAAAAGGATCTCACAAAACTGGGTGACTGGGCAACAAAAATGGCAGATGAAATTCAATGTTGATAAATGCAAAGTAATGCACATTGGAAAACATAATCCCAGCTATACGTATAAAATGATGGGGTCTAAATTAGCTGTTACCACTCAAGAAAGAGATCTTGGAGTCGTTGTGGACAGTTCTCTGAAAACATCCACTCAATGTGCAGCGGGAGTCAAAAAGCGAACAGAATGCTGGGAATCATTAGGACAGGGAGAGATAAGACAGAAAATATCATATTGCCTCTATATAAATCCATGGCACGCCCACACCTTGAATACTGCGTGCAGATGTGGTCGCCTCATCTCAAAAAAAGATATATTGGAATTGGAAAAGGTTCAGAAAAGGGCAACAAAAATGACGAGGAGTCTGGAACAGCTGCCGTATGAGGAGAGATTAATAAGACTGGGACTTTTCAGCTTGGAAAAGAGGCAACTAAAGGGGGATATGATAGGAGATCTATAAAATCATGACTGGTGTGGAGAAAGTAAATAAGGAAGTGTTATTTACTCTTTCTCATAACACAAGAACTAGGGGCCACTCAATGAAATTAATAGGCAGCAGGTTTAAAACAAACAAAGGAAGTATTTTTTCATACAGCGCACAGTCAACCTGTGGAACTCCTTGCCAGAAGATGTTGTGAATGCCAAGATTATAACAGGGTTCAAAAAAGAACTAGGTAAGTTCATGGAGAAGAGGTCCATCAATGGCTATTAGCCAGGATGGGCAGGGATGGTGTCCCTAGCCTCTGTTTGCCAGAAGCTGGAAATGGGCGACAGGGGATGGATCACTGGATGATTCCCTGTTCTGTTCATTCCATCTGGGGCACCTGGCATTGACCGCTGTCAGAAGACAGGATACTGGGCTAGAGGCATAGCGCCGACTTCCCGCTTTCCCATGGGTGCTCGACCCCCTTCTGTCCCCGGCCCAGCCCTCCCTCTACCCCTTCCATGAGGCTCCACCCCTGCTTCTTCCCACCCCAAAGTCCCCACCCCTACTCTGCCCTCTCCCTGCCAATATTCCAACTCCTTCCCCAAATCCCCGCCGCGGCTCCACCTCTTCCCTGAGCGCCCCACATTCCTGCTCCTCTCCCTCCTTCCTAGAGCGTGCTAATGCTGCCAAACAGCTGTTTGACGGCAGCTGGGTGGGAAGCACTG